ATTTCCTATATATTTAAAATTAAGATGCATTTATTGCAAATGATATATGCAATACTGCAATTATTTTTATCGTATTAAATGATATTGTACTATACTTTTTAACCGATCTATATTTTTCGTGTAATATAGTCCTTATTAAGAATGTAATTTATCAATTCTATTCTTAAATATTAGTATATTATTTTTAATCAATAAATGGACTGAAGTCGTCCCTAAACTTAATAACCTTGAAAAATTGTTACCACCGATCAGCTGATTTTGACATTTAAAAGATTATAACCTATTCACGAAATATATCATTAAAAACCACCTGTTGATTTAAAGGTTTTATCTTTCTTAAATAAATTTCGACTATTAATTAAGATAATTCGTAATTAAAAATCTAGTTACTTTGAGGTATTAATATGTAGAATTTAAATAAACTTATATGAAAAGTTGTAACATGTAACCTATTTACTGTAATATTTTTTTTTATAATTTCACATAGAAGGTAGGGTAATATTTCCAAAGGTATGTATTACAACTTTTTTATATTTTTTTCTTTAGTCTCTTGATAATGAAATATACACAATGGAATATATACATAACTACTTTATATATTTAACATTGTTTTAACTATAATTTTCTGAACTTTCAAACATACACATATGCTAAAAATAGTACCCAATTCATGTCATATAAACATCATAAAAAAATAATATACTTCATAATAACAAATGATTAACATAGATTACAACATATAAAGCTTGAATTATGGTAGTAAATATAAAGTGTATTTAATAAAAATGAATAAACTATTTAAAAGATTATGAAGTTGAAAAACACATAACATATTCAAAGTTCTTGATCATTGTTCTTCAATTTTGTACAGAAAACAAATAAAATTTTAATCTGTCATATTTGTTTTATAAATATTTATCAAGGCAGTATACAACAAACTTTGTATACATAACACGTATTCAATCCCTCCAAGTTCATCTGCCTGATATTGATAGCTGTTTATATCCACTTTAACTAATGAACATTACTTATTGAAGTTTGGTGTGCATTATACAGATATAGCAGAAATATCATTACTTATTCTCATCATGTGTTTGTAAGCAAAAGAATAATGTGGGCAATACAAAAATGAATAAGCTGAAGACTAATTAAGTACAAAAGAATTTAAAACAAGAATGTTATTTTCTGGTTTAAAAATAAGATGATCTTGTTATAGCAGTGCATCACATATTGCAGCTATATAGAAATTATATCTAAACGATAATATATAATGATGTTAGAGAAGCCAGCAAGAAGTGTAATATAAGTGAAATAATATGTTATTCTGCGTGGATTATACTTGTAAAACGATTTTTGTTCTAATTGCCTCAAATGCTGTAAACTTCTTTTATTTAATTTTTCAATTGATTCGATTTTTAATGATATTAAATTCTTAGTTTGAGGTATAGTTTGTGTAGTAGACCCAAGGGACGGTAATTTTTTTTTATTATAAAAGTTGTATTTGAAAATTATTATGAATTAGATAATAAATGTTTGTTACGTAGTTCTTCGTTGAGGTTTCTGTCCTTTAACAACGGTTGGCCGGCCTTTTATATAACCTTTCTTACGACGTGAAGTCTGAAACATTAATGTACAACCCCCCACAACTTCAACTACATTTCAACATTACACGATGTAATATTTTGAAAAATGTGAAACGATACGATCAATGATAAAAAAAAAATGTATTTCATGTCAAATACATTAATTAAAACTCTCACCTTTTTACTAATATACGAATTGGCATTACGTGCCACAACTCGTTTAGATATCGGAATACTAGGTCTATTAAACTCACTTGGTTTTTTCACCCTAAAATTAAATAAAATAAAATATATATATATAGTACACGTGTATGTGTTCATTTTATTATCTTTTGATTCCCAGAATTACCTGTAAATTCGAACAAGCCAATGTTCGGTTGTATAAGCTTCTTCCAAATATGTTAATTGGAAATTTTTATTTCCTATTTCTGCATTACGTGTACGATCGTAACCAAAGGGCGATCGATAATCGATCTTTACTTCTCCAAATCGATAATAACATAATTTATACATTAATGAATTTAAAAGAGTAGGTGAACCTTCGGAATCCACACGAAATTCTCCTTTTTCAGTGAAATAATCACTTTCCCGAATATCTTGTGGATATTCACCCTCGGCAATTCGTACCATCCAAAGGAACTTGTTAACATCATCTCCTGAATATCCAATCATTCCTCCAAAAATAACTAATACATAGTTTACATCTAATGATGTCATAATTTCATAAGCAGCACTTTCATTTGAGCTCATTGCTTTTCCAACCAGAGCTATATGTGAATTATTCCAAGTATTATTGTCCACGAGAGTAGTTCTATATTAGAAAAAAAAAAGCTTATTTCTATTTTACAAAGAACATTATTATACCTAACATTCAATGTTACATTGATATATTCGAATATTTTATTAAGAATTTATACCTGTTAGCCATTCCAGCAATTTGATAACCGTAATCCCACCAACTCATAACTCTAGCATCAATTGGTGTATTTTGTGCTAACCAATAATAAGCTTCTCTAAAGTCATCAAGTGTAGCTCTACCACCATCATTGCTATATGATGCCAAAACAATTGAAGGACTAGAATATGCATTACTTGTAATCCAAGTACAATGCAAAGTAAACATTGTCATCAACATAAATGCTCCAATGACAACACCATTTCGGAGATTAATACCCAATCCATCGCCGTTGCCTCTAGGTCGTTCATGTTTCATTCTACGGAGTTTGCCAGCTTTATCATATAATGCTCTACCAGGACTCCTTTCTCTTTCTTCTTCACTTTCTTCTTCACTGCCATTACTACTTCGATCATTTCTTTCACTATCTTCTTCTTTAAAGAACAATTCTAGAAGGTCACTGAAAGCTACTCCAGCAAGCATACAAACTACAGGGGTTAAAGTGAGCATAAGCCTAACCATTACTCCGGCAAAATAAACAGCACTTATAGCATATAATATAACTGTAAAACAATAATAATCATTAGTAATATATTTAAACAATACTAAGTAATAAATGATTTTGTTGTGAAATCTTACCAAAAACGCGTTCATCGTTAATATGCTTAATACAATACCACAGACCAACAGGAAATGTTGTAACAAGAATGTGTAAGTCAAAGAAAAAGCTAAACCATGTTGTAGGTTGATGTTCAGAAACAGATGCAATTATTGGAATGTGAATTTTTGCATAGCCAGTATCCCATAACGAATAAAATCTTCCACTCCAAGGAGCAACAACACCAGCATAGGTTAAACAAATCAAAACAACTAAAAGAACACCGGCTGTAACTGCGACAACTCCTCCAAAATATTTCATTTCAGACTTGGTAAGTACAGTTCTCAAATATCTATGATGAGACAAAAATATGTATTCATATATTTTATACACAAATATTATGAACAAGTTAACATACCTGAGAGCTGCTACAAAAATTAGCAGACCAAATACTCCTCCTGCAGCCATATGTTCTGATGTTCTTATTGGTTGAAAACCAACAAATGGTATTTGCATACTTAGTAGAAGTCCCAAAATGTAAAATGTAGTGTAACTTGTGAAAAGACGGTTACTAAATCGATTCATAACCAGCAATGCAAAAACGTGGAATGGAATGAGATTAATAATAAAAACATAACCACCCCATGCTGATACCATATAAAAATATGATAGAGCAGTCATAGAAGCCCAGAAGATAGAGCCAGTTTTAACTGATTTAACCCATAGATAATATGTTATTTGTAAAGCAAAAATAGCAATGCCTTCATTATCATAACTTCCTGCTACGGATCTTGAAATGTAACCAGGTACAATTGCAATGAAGCATGCTGCAAACAAGCCAGCTCCAGCACTCCATATTTCTTTTGTTAATAAGTACGTAGAAATGGCAGTAAGGCCACTAAAAATTGGAGCTAGGAATACACAAATATCTCTTATGTGTACTGGGATATTTAAAGAATGTAATATGTAATGTATTGATCCAGATGTGATCATTAATCCTGGATAAACAGTTCCACCCACAATACGACCCAATGGATACCATGCTCTTTCATCAAACCAATTTAAAAAATTGTAGAATCCATGTTGTACCATGTACGCTGTTGCTCTGTAGTTAAACCTAAATTACATAAAAATATTTTATTTCAAAACTATTTATATATTATTTTTTAAATAAAGCTTATTTATCTCAATGAAAATCAAATTTTTTTTCACTAAAAAGTAATAGAATCGAATTATCGATAATCACGTGGATAACGATAATATATAAAAATACGTACCACGGATCGAATTCATGTATGATACTTTCGAAACGTATCACCGCAAATAACCGTGAGGCAAATCCTGAGATCCAAGCAAGTAGCAAAACAGTAAAAGTAATAAGAGAACTGAGACCAGCAGCGTTTGTTAACGTGGAAGTTTTCATTTGCTTCGAAGTTGATTTCTTATCAGGAAACATATCTTTTTTGATATTTGTCGTCGATGATCTATTTGGCAACATATTTCCTTTATATTTATGAATGTTGCAATAAATGTTTCCCTCACGTATTAATAGATATTTGATATGAACATATTAGCGTTTGTTTATATTCGATACGTTGCAAATCAAGCGGCCCGCAACAAATTTCCAAATCACTATGCTTAGGCTAGGAGTCTAAGACACGTTGAACACCGGCTACGTGTTAACCATGACTTCCATAACGACGTTTCATACTTTCATATGCGATATGGTAGAGGAATAGTATGTTCGAATATGCGCTTCAACATACACTAAGATCAATACGAATATCAAGTTACTGATTGGTTTCATTTATAATATATAAAGTCAGAAATAGTTTATCCGCCAATAGAATTAATTTTATGCCAATATAATATCTAGTTATAAACTATGATCCACACAGACACAATTACACACGATACATTGAAAATTATCTTGCAAATGTCATATCCGGATTCAGTTCATTAGTTAACAACCAGCTTTTAAAGTACGCAATGGGATAAATATTTCCTATTTGCACTGGCGGATTTATGCTTCAAGTAGCCCAATCTATTACTATAAAACCGAAACATGCGTGCATATGAATTATGCATTGGATGTTTAAATTTTGAAATCCTTATATCCCCACATTTTCATTTTTCTGTATCACTAGATTTCTAAATCCCCAAATTTCCACATTCCTATAAAAACAAGGACAGGAAGAAGAAACATTTCATATTATATTCCTTTGAATATTGAGCAGGCAGTATTGACTGTAATTCAAATAAATTAAATAATAAAGTGAGAAATATTTTACCTAAAGTTGATTATAGTCATAAATTTAGAAATAAAAATGATATATCGACTACCAAATATTAAATTATATTTGTTATATAATATAAATTTATATGTATATATTGTTTTTTAGAGGTCGTTATCTTGTGGGCTCTAAGAAAACCATCTTCATCTAAGCGTAAATACGTCACTGTCTGTTTGCGTTCTGTATAATAAAGTTTAAAAGTATTGTTATTTAACTTTATTTAACATCAGAAATTATCAAAGAGAATCAGATTGTTGTAACTGTAATTTGTTAAAATTAAATTTATATATTAAGAACTGTAATTTTGTCAATAATGTCAGATTTGTAAATGGTAAGCATTATAGAATTATACAAATGCACTAATATATGTAAGTGTATAATAATATAATGTTTTCAATTATTTGCATTCAGAAAGTTTCTCATGTTTACCAGTAAGGAGCAACTGATAAAACGTACTGGAAAGAATCCTATCGGTCGTTACGAATTTTTAAAATTGTTAGCTACGGAATATAAAACCACTAAATCTAAAGGTAACTTGTGTGAAAAGGGTTAGGTTATTATTCATTGTATAGTTATGTAATTATGTACTGCTGACAAAACTAATAATAGAAGTTATTTTCTGTAGATGCAAAAGAACAAGTTTTAGCAAATCTTGCTAATTTTGCTTATGATCCTATTAACTATGGATATATAAGACAATTACAAATAATTGACTTATTCCTTTACGCATTATCTGAAAATAATGTCAAGTTGGTACGTTTTGCAGCAGGTGGCATTTGTAATTTATGTGTTGGTAAGTAAGTTATTTGACAGATGAATTATTCCTTGAGAAAGTGTCCATGATTATATTTAAAAATTATATTTTTAGATCCAATAAATAAATTGTATATTTTACGCAATCAAGGAATTAAACTTCTAACATCGTTACTTGTTTCACAAGATGAAGACACTGTATTATCAACAATTACTAGTTTAATATATTTAATTACTCCTGAGTCAAAAGATGAAATAACAACTGAAGATATTGAAAAAATATCTGAGCTTTCAAAACAAGAAAGTAATCGTATTAAGAACTTGGCAACAATATTTTTAAATGATTATTCTGCATTGAATAATAATACTGAAGATTCTAAAAATACATAAGAAACATATGTTGGAAAAAATAAATATACTAAAAATAAAATGAAGTTGTCAAAGCCATTTTTTAAATTGCTAAAAAGATATTGTACAGGAGTTTCTGGTTTAACAAATTCAACAAATAATTTAAATAATATAAATACTGGTAGTAAAATATCAGTTTTTAAAACAATCACAAAGAATGATGTTTTAAATTTTGCTGAATTAACTGGTGATCATAATCCAGTACATGTTGAAACTTCAAATAATCTTGTACATGGTGCACTTCTTAATGGCTTAGTATCAGGAGTACTTGGTACAAAGTTACCAGGTCCAGGAACCTTAGTGCTGGAACAAAATCTGACATTTCCAGCACCATGTTATGCAGGAGATACAATAGAAATAAAAGTAGAGATTGTTTCCATAAGAAAAATTATGAAATGTGAATATATTTGTATTGCAAATGGAGAAAAAATAGTTTTAAAGGGTAATGCAAAACTCATTAAAAAGTTACCAATTTCATAATGCTTCGTGGTATTATTATCCATAATTCTATTAATTAAAATACTGTAAATTTCACATTTACATGTGTGCCATACAAATAAAGAGTAAAGCAAATATTTTATACAACATGTGATTGCAATATTACAGTATTATGAAATATTGCTTATTAAGTACATAACCCAGTTCAGTTGCTGACACATCAAAACAGTATACCTTTAACAAAACCTGCAGTAACTTGCCAACTTTCATTAAGTTCATTCAAGTCATTTGCTCAGTCGAATCAATGTAAGTATACTTAAATCTTTTTTTTTATATATTATAATTATATACAGAAACTAATTTTTTATATCTTCAGTATATTCTTTATAATACAAATTTGTTACTTATAAAATTAATAAAATAAGAATTTTTTACAGATAAAAATGTATTCAATGATTTTATTGTTAATTGTTTGTTTTTCATCTGTATCTGCACATGATCAAATTAAGTCACAAGATTTAAATAATACTCTGAATGTTTCAACTACTAAAACGCCACTTGGCTGTGTTTGTGGAATTTTTTTAAGTAAACAGTTCAAGAAAAATAGCAAAGAACCACCTATAGGAAATCCTGCTCTTAATTATGATCAACCTGGAACATTTCCATGTACTCAAAGTGGAAACAGACTTTGCATTAATAAATGTTTGGATACTGTGAGTTCATTTATACACATGTGTGTTTTTACTAATTAAGGTATTCTAAAATGTTAGATTAAAATGAAGAAACATGAAACATATTTAAATGTAATTACAGATTATTAAACATCTTCCAAATAGTTCTACAATATTATGTAGTTCAATAGAACGTAACTGCTATAAAGAGAAAGTAAGTTTTACTATATCATGTTGTAATAGTTTACTCTATTCATTATTATATGTAATTTTTTATCCTAGGCTTATTTATTTATCCGGAATTGTCAGAGTGAATGGATTAATACAAATCTTTCTACTGGGAAAGAGTACTGTTGCAAGAATGGTGTACCATATAAATGCCCATTATACTGAAATTAATGTCATCTCATTTTAGCATTATTTTATCTGTAATGGATTAATGACCAAATTTTATACGTTTTTTTAATTTAATAAAATATTTTATACTTCCCTTAAACTTCCTTCTTAAATATCCCGCCCTTTATCTAAATATAGCACTAAGAGAACGTTATACACACTCTATAGAGAATCAACAGAATCCCAGATAAATATCTAAAATCCTTATTCTATAATTAGATATTCATATGTGAATCTTTATTCTATCTTGTGCATGTTAAAAAGAAAAAACTTTTATTCTATTAAGTTTTTTTTATCTATAAATATATGAGGTATGATTTTGATCTTTAATTTGTGCTATTAGGTCAAGTTCAAGCATAACCCCAATAATATTATAGATGACAACGTTAAATTTAAATTGACTAGTTGCTTCAAAGTTGTACCTTGTACACTTTTATTTTAACGAGCAACATTAAACTTTTACCAAAGTTTCGTTTTTACTAAGATAAAAAAAATTATGAAATTATTTATCATTTATATAATTCTTTGCTATTAATATTTAGAAAATTATGGTGCTTTATAAAAAAGAAGTAATGTAAAATTATATTAAATAGGTAGTTACTACCTTGGCAAAATACTTTATAAATAAAAGATTGGTAAGAAATATGTGTGCACGACTTTTGACATGTCCTTTGTGCTCACAACCAGGTTTTTTAACACTGGATGCATTGCGAGCAGGATTAATAAGTGTAGCAACTCGACCTCTTGTGTGTCCTGTGTGTAATGAAGTATTGCTTGGTATTGATAAACTTACTATTCATTTATTTAGTCATGCTATTAATTTAAACAGTAACAATATAACAGAGTTACCAAAACATATCAATGTTGTTAATAGTAGTATTGAGTCACCGGCAATACATAATCAACAAAATACTACTACTTTTCAAGATTGGAATGTATTAGAAACACAGACTACAGATTCAAATAAATTAGAAACTAATATTCAGAATAATTTAAAATTCTCACAAAATTTACAAAATACAAAAACTGAAGTTCCAATCTTAAACTCAAAAGTTTTTCCTCAAAATCAGAATACATCGCCAAACCATGCACCTCAAGTTGCATTTCTATCAGACCAAATTTCTGAAAATGAAGAAATAAATACAATTCATGAAAATAAACAAACATCAAAATCAGAAAAAGACTCTCAACAAATGTTGCAAGAAACAATAAAATTAAATTATGCTACACAGTATTACAGTAATAATAATATAAAGCATGTGAATTATATCCAAAATTATTCTGAAATAGACCATGAAAATACCCAAACCATGAAAAATTGGATACAGAATCAAAATTGTGAAGAACAAATGACTATAAATGAAAATTTAGACAAAAGGGGAAAATCTGTAGAAAATGGAGAACCTTGTGCTAATGAATATAACTATAATGAACAATCAACAACAATGAATAAATTTGTAGCTAGTACATCAGTTTGTATCAATGCACCACTAGAAAAATATAACAATTATAAAAATATACAAGATAATTCATCTACCACATGTAATAAAAGTCAGAATGAAAATCCTGACAATCAGGAAATATTGTCTGAATTAAGACTTTATAAAAATGAATCAATGAAAGAAAAGACAGAACGTTGTAACATATGTGGATTTCATTTTCCTGATCATAATATTTTGATTTTACATAAACAATTAATACATATGATTAATGAAAAAGATTTAAATATTGTTCCTGAAAATTTGTTGAAAAACTATTCTTGTCACTTGTGTTCTAAGATATTTAAAATGAGGGGTAGTTTAATGATACATATGAGAGTAGCACATATGGGATATAATTTGGGTAATTTATTAATATTATATTTAGATCATCATGTTCAACATGATAATGACATTGGCTAATGAATAATTTCAGGTTCATTGACTAAAGGTGGACAAATAGAATTCATACTTAATGAAAATAAATATAGTTGCCCTACATGTGGAAAACAATTTAAAAAGGTAATTGAAATTTATTTTTCACTAGCTTTCAAATAAATAAAATGCATTTATCGTTTTAGGAACAACATGTAATGCAGCATTTAAAAACTCATGAAGCAAAACAATGGGAATGTGATGTATGCAGTAAAATGTTTACAACAAAGTATTTTTTGAAAAAACATAAACGATTACATTCAGGGGAAATGCCTTATAAATGTAATATATGCAACAAAACATTCACTTTTCAACAGTCATATCATAAACATAGACTATATCACAAAGATGATAAACCACATATGTGTACAACTTGTGGCAGATCATTTAAAGAATTATCTACTTTACATAACCATGAACGAATTCATACTGGAGAGAAACCTTTTGAATGTGAAACTTGTGGTATGTTAATTTTCTATAGACATTACTGAAAAACATTATGAAGCTTTAGAATAATGCATGTTTTGTTTTCAGTTATCATTAACAATTTAACATGGATTGTTCTATTTGTGCAATGTATGTATAACAATTCTGTGGTTACTGATATATTTTTTATAAATACAGCTTATACTAGGATACTACTAAATACTATGATCACAAACTATACATTTCTATGACATGTATTTTAAGAAACAAATAAGATGGTACATAACATTAATGATAGTAAAACAGAAGTAAAATAATATAGAGCAATTTCGAATTTCTCAATAATATCTATTTTTTAGGAAAATGTTTCCGTCAACGTGTTTCATATTTAGTTCACCGTAGAATTCACACAGGTGTAATGCCTTATAAATGTACAACATGTGGAAAAAGTTTCAGATACAAGGTATGTTATAATTGAAAAGAATAATGCCTTTACAATTTCATAAAATATCCATTATTATAGGTAAGTCAAAGAACCCATAAGTGTTCAGTACAGCAGATGACAAATGTAAGCCAAACTAATAATACAGATCAGCAATCTGTATGTCCATCAAATGTACAAAAAATAAGTAATGACCCATGTACAAATCTCCAAGAAAATGTTTTAGAAAAAAATCAATCAATACTAAATATCACAAATAATGAAGAAAACAAATATGTATTAATAATAAACCCTCAGGGTCAGCATCTTTTAACAAAAGAGTCAGATATAGATAAAACACAAAATATTTCTAATAAAGATAAAAAATTTGAAGGGTACGTTGGAATAAATGAAAAAAATGAAGAACCAAGGAATATATGGAAATCAGACATTCCTAATAGTCCTATATATAAGAAAGCAGTTGAAACTACTAAAAAAATATATTCAAAAAATGAAAAACCACTTAGGGATGATACAAATCATTTCTTTTCAATGGTAATGTCTCCACTTGAAAATGGATTGTCTTCACCCACAACTGAAATGGAGCACTTAAGAGTATCATCTCCTACACAAAAGCAGGACATATTTAAATCTTATGATAACTTTAGGTGTACAACACATGAAATAGAAATGAATTTGATTAATCCAAATATGGAACAAAATTTTACTAATACTGAAAATGATACAAATAATTTACAGACTATCAACGAAGAATCTCTAAAACAACTACTGTACGGTATTAATGAAAAATAATTATTCATATAAATCTATAGAAGTTATATTACTAGTTCTGTCACTTTAAATAAAACTGAAAATATTTTTCAAAATATTTACTTAGCACTGTAATATAGTTAAAATCTATTTTTTAAATACGTTAAAGATTATTTAAATTGATGTAAACATATCGTACTACTATGACATCTTTAAATAAATATCAATTATCCCTTACTGCACGAAATTTCCTCCAAAATGAATACTATAACACAACATAAACCTTCTTTTTTCTTATTTCTGTTGATGTTTATAAACCTACGATAAATTTTGGTTTATATTTTAACGAAACATAGCCACAATATTACTCGATTGAGTTATCAAAAATAAACATGCCTACTCAATGATGGAAATAATAACTAGATGACAGTTTGTGCAATTAGATAGCCTAGGGAAATTTTTAAACAGAAGTGTCAGACCTTGTGACAGCTTGCATCTGCCTTCATGGTTATACATATACACGGTGAGAAGAAATAAACGAACAATAAGCACTGCTAATGATGTAGTAAATGCCCTGCACAAAATACAGTAAAATAATGACAGACGAGAAAAAACCACATCATTGATTCATTTTTGATTAACAAATTAAAATATTATTAAATTTATATATTTAATCTTTGATTCAAAATCAAAGGTAGCAAGGAATATTCTTTCTACTACACTTGTTCTTGTACAAAGGAAATTTTCGTTGCATAAGCTTATAAAATGAAAGAAATATTATACTCAACTATTTTAATGCATCTATAAAATATATGAATACATATAGGAAAAAAGTATTTCATCTAACAAATGCCGCATATTGTAATGAACGTGAATTAAAAATTAGAAAATTTTCTGTTCACTGAGTATATATTTTCAGCGTCATGATTATCATAAGAGCGCATATGTACTGGCATAGATTTTAGAATATGTAGAAACGAACAGAGGTAGGACTATAGGAAGTACTCGTCGCCGAAATCAGTGCAATCTTTTGTGAAATAGAATATACAGAAACAATGATTAACCAATTTTTAATAGCTATCTGGAGAAAATAGACGAGGAAAAAAAGACATTGATCAGTTATCATTCGAAAGACTTTATTTTGTAACTACATGAAAGCAGACATGCACTTTGATTAAATCGAGTGGAATAACTTGCATCGTGTGTAGTTCCTGGTTGAAATATCGTAGCAGACGACGCTCCGATCGACTTGACAGTACAGTCTGTGTTTTCACGTGTTCTCTCGCGGATCGTATTGCGTAACTGGAGTCCGACTTCCAGGGAGGAGCTCCCTTTTTCGGTAAGTATCTATTAATAAATTAAATAAAAAATCATAATGCATCCAGTTATTTCAATTCATATAATAATAGACGCATGAAAAATTTGTTCCATCGGCTGACCAGTAATGTTCATTTATCACAAGCTGTTTTGACATTGTTTGAGAAATATTTTAATTTATTAGCCAATTGGATATTACTGAATAAGGTTCTCAACCAATCATAATTGTCATATACATACTTGTCAAAAGTGAACAATAAAGCCAGAAGCCAAATTTGTTATCATATCATAATTGTGGTGTTTACAGATTTTATCATGAAAAACGTTTGGTTGGAATATAGATTTATATTTTATAACCTAACGATAATTTAAATCTAAATATTGTTCAAAAGTATACGAATCATGTGTTATTCATTAACAGAAATCATATGTGCATTGAATAACCATTTGATACTTTTGCGATTTTGCTTGTGTTTAAGTTTTTATTAGGTGTACATAAAAAATATGATAAAAGCTTCTACGCATGTTGCAACGTTGCACGACATAAAATGCAACGTACACGTATGGAACATGACGTTGATCATAATATTATCAGTTTGAGTGTGGAAATTAATAACAAATATCCGAAAGTTTGTGACTAGTTCTATATTGTAAATAAGGAGAAAGTAAAAGTTGGAATTTGAAAGAATCGTAGCAAGATGGCTATTCGCGCCGGTTTTGCGACTGTGTTGTATTATGAATTGTGATTTTCTTTCATACGACCACCAAGTTTTAGTACGCATGTATACTCTGTTCAAGGAAATACCCTACTCAATTCACGCAGCTCATGACTAACTTCAGTCGACTACTCACCATTTGATCAAGAGTTGTTCTACTGCCATATGCGTTCCTCTTCGCCGGTCATATATGCAATGGATAAAATACGTTAATAGCTTGAAGAAGCTTGAACCAGGCATTACCAAATGTGGAAATTTGGAGTTTTAAGGATTTAAAGCTGTCAGAATTTGGAGATTTGAAATTTTGGAAATTTAAGAATTTGAAAATTTTGAAATTTGAAACTTGAAAATTTGAATCACGGAGTGTACACGCTCCGCGTCGAGAACATGGTATGGTCGCATGCGCGTTGCTCTTGGATACGAAGCGTGTTCAAACCAATCACAGCTGACATGCGCAGAACGAATGAAAACTTGTCGTATGATGAGTATGCTCTCTTGTTGAACAGAGTATACGTTAACTCTGTGTGTGACGTTTCCTGATGGGGGCGGAGCATCCTCCAGCTTCCCAATTCTAACCAACCCGATCCCGATAGCCATCGCATTCCGCTGATTTGCTTCAGTGTGCCTCGGTAGTGCATTCGGTGCGTTTTTTGGTATGTGCTTGTGCACATAGCCACTCACCAACTTATGTGCTTGCGCGAGAATCCATTTCTCTATCGTATGTAACGGGGAACATTGTGCTTAGAAAAATTATTAACTAGGGGACATTTTTTTCGCAATGCCTTGGGCATATTTTTCTGACATTCAGGTAACTTTTTCTTGTTACTTCGGTTCTTTTTTTTCTTCATATTGGGAAGTCCCGTATTCAAGTAGGATTCTCTTTTTCGAAGACCTGAACCTGAGGTCACACGGTGACGAGAGTGGAGAAACGATAGAGAGAAAGAGACGAAGAAAGAACTCGTCCTCCATTACTTGTTCATAAGCAAATGGTGGCTTGCTCGCTTGCTCGCCTTTGTTATAATTATTTACGTCTTTCGTTGAATCCCAAAGGTGTACCGTGTCTATTCGTGGCTTTGTTACAACCGAGTAATCCTAGTATTCTTAGAAGACGTTCTATGATGTCAACGGCACAATTTCGTATTGCTTGTAATATTATAAACGGATACCAGTTGTAGTGTTTGTTATGATTGTTCAGTTCGTTACTATCTCTTTCAACCGTGGAAGAAAACATTAATTGCGTATCACTTCTTATGTATTATTTAGCTGCATTCTTGTTATCCGAGTGTGCATTGATTTAACGCGTTTAATCATAATAAGTTGTTTCCATTTAATCCGCTTTGTCTGAAACGGAATACATGAATATTTTTTGTTTTCAATATATTAATTAAAAGTAGGTATAAATATATTTTTATTATATTTGTTAAAATTGTTCAAATATATTGTTACGTTTAAGCAAATGTCTTTATACAATGGACGTATTTTTGTTCGATATTTGTTATTTTGTTTTAAAATATGTTATTATATGCATAAGAGATAAATACATGAATAACAAAATAATTTATATTCATGTAAAGTTATCTAGAATTAGTGTCTTCAAATTGAAATGTTCCAAACAATATAATATGTTCTATAAAATCATATAATTGGAAATTAAATTATTTATTAACAAATAATTATTTATTTCACATTTTCAATTTTAGCCAAAACTTAACTAAAGATAGATTACAGTTTCAGTATTATATAATGTATATTGTATCAAAGATTCTATGAGCATTTTGATTGTAATTATATCTTTAATAGATTTTATATAAAAATTCCTTATTTTTTATGTTATGTATAATAACTAATGAAAATGTTTTTTTTTCCATAGACAGAATAGTGGCATGAGTCGATTAATCTATGGCAGATCAACAAGATCAACTATCAGGGGGGTCTGTAGAGACGGCCAATGCTTCAGCAGATACCTCTAAAGTTAGAGGGAAGAGCTCTAGCAGTGGTAGCAGCGGTTATAGAAAACGACAAAGCACTAGTTCTATTCCAGTCACTGTAGAAGAAAAAAGACGTAGACAGACTATTGGTGACCCAGAATCATCTGTAGATTTTAATACTTCCGTGTGTCAACATTCGAGTGATTCCTTCAAAGCAGAAAGTAGAACAAGAGGTGATCGTAAAAGTCATGGCAGTGGCTTAGAATCATATCTAGGTAATTATATTTGTTCCAGTTATTGCATAAATGAAAGATATATGGTTACATAATTAGGAAAGAATTTAGTTTACCTTTAATTTTTAAATATGTATTAATTATGAAACACAGATACTAATTGGAGGGCTCCACATAAAGTTCAACAGTCGAATTGTAATATTAGTGGGAGCAGTACAAGAGTTCGTAGTGCTGCAAGAACAAGTTTGCCAGAATTAAATTTAACGGCTATTGACTGTGTTGCTTCAAGGACTCGTTCTCGTACACCACAAAATCCCCAAGCCATATCACAAGGACATAATAGTTACGATTTATCACTATCCAGTGATTTTAATAACCGAGAAGACTTGACGTATAACAGTTTGGTACCACCATCGAGTTCTACACCTGTTACTAGTCATCCATCCACATCACGAGGAAGAGGTTAGTTTATTTATATTCCATTTATTAAAAAGTGTTGGTTGCAATGAGATGTGTTGTGTGAATTGAGTGAATACATAATACAATAAAAATATTAATCAAATCAATTTTAAATATTTAAAAAATATTAATAAAGCATTCAAGATGTATAAAAAACACTGATAATAACAACAATAATTAATAATCAAACATTAACATTTTATACTAATTGTGATTATTTATATTTATTTTTTGGGCGAAAATTGGCATTTGCATTCAGTAAAAAAAGATAATTACTTTTAATTTAGAATTTTTTCTTATAAAATATCAATAAACTTATGATTTCATGTATGCATAACTAATATTATTTTATAATGTACTTATATACTAACAGTTTATTATTTTGTTAAATTTTATTATTATGAGTTATAACTTCCAATTGTTAATAACAATTATAACAATCAAATTTTAAAACTTACAACAAAAATTTTGTTTTTGAAATTTGAATTCTTTTAAAAACTATGATATTTTTGTTGCTTTACTACCAGTAAAATATACTTATTTTAAAACAATTTTTAAAACAGCTGTTAAAATAAAAAAACAAATGATTAACAATACTTGCGATGATCTCATAAAGAAAAAATTCCCCTCTTAAAATTAAAATCAGATTAATAAACTCTTTATTTATACATAACTATAAATTACTTATATACAAATGAAATAAATTACAACAGTACTTCTGATCAAACAAACTTATAAAAAACAATATTTTTAGTATTTGAAATATATACAATAGTGTCACAGAAACTTAGTGCTATGCTTAATTCAGTGTCATGATCAATTAAAAACACTCCTTATTTTTATATCATAAAAGTGTGTTTTGCAACCTTCATTTCTTGAAGCAGTAGGCTAAAGAATAGGGTAGTAAAACTAGGTTTTGATTCACAAGTATCTTAAAATTAAAGAAAAAAAGTATTACCAAAATAAGAGTCATAGATCAGACTGTATCATTAGGCCTGAGGATGAGCGAATGTCTGGAAGGATTTGTGTCTGCTGTCAAAGCACTTTTTCCAATATCAACACAAACGTATCATCAAGAAGGTAAGCCTAAGGAGTACACACTTCGTACTACATTTTTTTACCCTAATTTTCTCTTGTAAATTCATGAGTAGATATCTTTAAATGAATACAAGTCACTATAAATCTGCTCTTTAAATTGGTTCCCTATATCCATATGCAAGTATATTATATTTAATGTCAGGTCAAATTGTTTGAGTCAAATTTGATTTATGCATGACATTATTTCTCCAGACATATATGGTAAACATGATTCTGATGCAACTATACAACATATTTCAACTACTTCAGATTTCTAATAAAATTAAATATATGTGTGTTCTAATATTATTTTGAATATTTGACAATTTATAAATAAAATATTCATAATATAAAGTATAAACGATACTCATTTAACTTATGTGTAGGTGTAACACATAAATATAGTGTATACCACCTATTCTCATAGTATCATCTTGTAATGTATAATATAGTACTTTGTTTTATTTAGTTCCAGTCATCTCAAATTCAATAGAATTACTACAAAATTAAGACATCATATATTATAATAAGTAATGTCTATAAATACAATGAAATAATTGCATTAAATATGCACTTATTTTGTAAAGTTTTTTTATGTTCTTTATATGTAATTGATAAATACTACCAAAACAGTGTTTTAATTTTTGTTACATAATATTAACATCTTTACTAATATAATTATTATTTTCAGTTTTAAAAGTATTAAGTGTTTAAATTTCTGTATCCAAATGTGCAATTAGTACAAATTATTTTTATTTAATTTAATGGATGGATATCAAATTAATAAGGTAAATATTGTTTATTTGTAGTAATGTTGAGTAAAAATACATATTTTGTATATGCACTTTGACAAAAAAAAAAGATATAAGTACATTTCTAAACTTCATACAAAAGTAAATAAAATCTTATATACAAATAGGGAAAATATAGACAAGCAATGGTACTTTATTTTCTTCCTAATATCTTTTGACATAAAAATAATAATATTTGATAACTTGATATTAATTGTGCTTTCCATTCATTATAATTGTTATCAATTAAATAATGCCACATATATTTCTTTTAAATAATTTGTTGTATAAACTTAAAAACCTTTAAGACTAAAACATACACATAAATAACAATTTCAAGCATTTTTGTAATTAGCTGATAACACAGTTACATGTGTGATCAAATACATTTCATATTTGTACATACTCATACCTAGGAAGAGATTTTTTTACCATATTTAGTTTGATAAAGAGTTATTTAACAAAAACCTGATCATTTTTAAAATGATAAACAGTATGTGCTATATATTTATTTAGGTTTAAAAAAACAGTGTGTTTCCATAAATATATGTAATGGAAATATGTATATATTTAACAGAAATAAACTATAGATTGCACTAAAACTGATATAAATACTGTATTATAAATTCATAAACTGCTTATTATAGATTTTTAACTTGTAAAAATGCTTGATTCTTATAATTATGCACAAAAAACATAATGAATAGTTTTATGTGCACTGAAGCATTATATATGTATGTTAGTGTCTCTTTCTCTTTCTCTCTCATCCCTCCCCACCCTTCTTTATTATCAAAAATGGTAACTGACCTATGATGAAACTGAAATTTTAGAATATCTAAGAATCATTACAAGTATTATAATCGATTTTTGCATTTGTATCATAATAATAATGCTTTAATATTTTAGGGTCAAAATCTCACGGTGGTACAACCTGCACGAATAGC